TTTTTCTTGTTGAAATATGTTTAAGTAAAATCTTTTATCATAATGCAGTAAGTAGTGCTTCTGTGCTCAGAGTGGTGCTTGTGAGCCTAGACTTAGCTTGCTGAACTTTTCCTTGCCTGCCATTGTCAGTTTGGAGGCACCACCAAGTGGAACCTCCTCTTTAGAAAGGCCCTTGAAAACCCCGAGCAGTCTAAACACATAGATTCCTTTTTATAAAGTTCACACTAATTATTCATCTAATTGAGGCTTGAACACAACCAACCACAGACTCACTCTGCTCTGAGGTCACCTGTGTCCTTATTGGACTGTCTCAAGACTGAGTTTCCGTATTTTAATCTGAAATAATCTACACTTTAGTCCTAGTATTACACTCTGGGACTGAAGAGCACAGGTCTAAATTTCCTTCTGTGACGGCATCAAATTTCTGAAGGTCACTATTGTAGCACTTTTGTTCTTAAAATTTTTATTTCACTCACATAGAACTAAGGAAATGGGCAGGAGGCCCCAACCTTAGCAGAGGAACTATTGGCAGCTGATCACTGCTGGGTCAAAGAGAGTTGGTCTTCTTTATGGGAGTGATGCTAGATAGGTTGTCCTGGCTCTAGTGGATGTACTTATGCCAAGAGACAGCTGGATACACAAACTTGACTCTATAGGTCTTAACATATATGACAGAATGCATGAAATCTGGTGGGTGGGCTATGAGGGGTGCAGATAGAGGAGAGGTACATGATTAGGTACATGAAATGCACAAAGATTCAATAAAATATATATTGAAAAAAATTTACTTCAATGTTTCTATACTATGTTTACAAGATTATACTATAGAAAAAATACAATATGAAATAAACGTTAGACATTGCTTTTGATTTAAAACATGAAGGAAAAATGATAATATAAAACATCTGTATTTGTACTAGCCAAGCAATAATACTTTCAGTTTTTTGCTTAAATAAATCTTTATGGATAAAGCCAAATATTCTCTTTGGTGGCTATCCTTAGATTTCTTTGTATCTCGACTTTCACAGAATCAAGTGTTCTCTGTTGTACATCCCTCAGCATGTATATTTAAACACATATGTATGCATCTATACATCCATCCATATCTCTGGTGTATGTCCAGGATGTAGGGACCAGCCAGTGTATTAATGCTAGTGACTACTCTTTTGGACAGTGTAGATACAAAACAAATCCCTCACCACAGGGAGTACTGTTGGAATATGTATATGTTTGCTATTCATGGGTGACTATAATATTCCTACATGCAAATTGCTTAGGGTTAAAAGATTTAACTGGGTGTAGTGGCAAATGCTTATAATTTCAGTACTCAGGAGGCTGAGGCAGGTGCAACCTAAGTTTGAGGGAGGTCAGCTTGGGCCACACAGTGAGAATGTATCAGTTGCTTTTGCATCACTGAGTACAATACCAAACAGAAAGTACTCAAGGGAGGAAGGATTCATTTTGGTTCACAGTTTCAGAGTTTGAGTTCATCAAAATGAAGAAGGCATGGTGAAGCAGCTCAGACCATGGCAACAGGAGCCCAAGGTGGAGACTATTTACATGAAGGCAGACTAGGGATAACAAATCCCCAAAGACTTATCTCCACTGACCTACTTCATTCAGAGGCCACACCTACCAAATTTTCCAGAACCTCCCAAAACAGCACCATTGGCTGGGGACTGGGACCAAGCATTCAAAACACAAGCATGCTGGACATATGGTAGAGTCAAATCTTAACAGAGACCTTGTCACCCCCTCCCCGGCTGAGTCTTTTCATTAGATGGCTGTGTACTCTAATTACTGCTTCTATTCCTGCTTACCTATGTTATTCTGTCCTCTTTGGTCTGAGAACCATTTCCTTCATTGAAATGATAAAGTGAAAATAAAAGTGATTCTGTCTCTCTCTCATATGTTAATTTGTATCAATTCCAAATGATCTAATTTCTCCTCTTTTCTTTCTTTTTTTAAATTTTCACTTACCAAAGCTCTTTTGCTATCCTTGGGATTTTCTTAAAATTGAGCTCATTGTAGACTTTTGATTTATCTAATGAAAACCAGAAATCTGTATTTTCATCTAGTCAGCTGTTAACATTTTCCATGGCATTAAATAATCTATGAAGAAAAATACATCAATTAAAATTTCTGGATGTGGTATAATCCATTTTTGTTCTTAATTTTTATTTGGAAATATTTCAAACTCAAGGAAAAGATTAAAAAATAACAAGCATCAAGACCCTCTAACTGATGGATCCATTTTAGAATCTTGGCATATTTTGTTCTCTCCCACATTCTCACATGATGTGTGAACTATTTGTTATATATACAATTATATGCAAATCAACTGTTATAGATCTAACTCCAAATCAATAAACCCAGTGGCATAGAATTCCTAACATACTATTATCAATGATAATGCCATCAACATACTGTGAATACAGACCAGATATTATCTAGTATCTGGCCTATATTCAAATTCCTGTACTTGTCATGAATAGTTGCTGTAAAAAATTTATTTTTAGATTCAGGACTTAATTTTGTTTTGTTATCTCTTGAATCTTTTTTTTTTTAATCTGGAAGAGTTTTTGTAATTAGCTTATTTTAACAGTCCACATCATATTTTTGTACAGTACAATACGTTCTAGACTACTGCATGTCTTTACGTCCACCTTGTTCCATTACCCTCTGTCTATATTTTAAGTGTGTGCTTGTGTTTCCATCTAGATTTGGATTTCTCAGTCTTAGCACTACTGATATTTTATGCCATTAAATTCTTTGTTGGGATATACAAATGTCCTGTGCACTGTAGGCTGTTTAGCAGCAACCCTGGCCTCTACCCACAGATGCAATTAGCCTTATGTACCTGCCTTTGGCTGTGACATCTAGAAGTGTCCCCAGACATTCCTAAATGTGCTCTGGGGACTGCTGATTAGGCACTTGGATGAGAACTGTGGTCTAGAAGCTTAAGTGAAGGTTAAACAATTTTAGCAAGAATACTTCTTAAATGATGTGTACGTTTAATTTCAGCAAGCACATAACATCAGATTGTGTCACTGTGATTCTAGTACTTATTTAAGGCAGTAATTCTTTTTGAAAAGATAAAGGCTTGATACTTGAGACAACGTGAGCATCCTGTATTCCTACAAATTTTCACCCAGGAAAACGGATTTTTCTATCATTTGTTCTAGATTTATAATCTGGTACGCCTCTGTAAAGAAAGAGCTCATCTTCTTTTTTCTATTTGTTTTTTGGAGACAGGTTTTATGCAGTCCAGGCTGGCCTCCAACTCACTATACCACCAAGGAAGACCCTGAACTGCCAATCCTCCTACCTCCACTACTAGAGTGCTGGGATTACAGGCATGTGTCACTACAACTGATTTTTTCTTTTATTTTTAGTGGCCCTCAAAATTCATCATTCCCCAAAATTAAGTGTGTGTCATTGTCATTATTTATTTGATGCTCAGAATGTACCAAAGTTCTCCAGTAGGACTCGTGTTCTTGAAGTGGATTTAGTATTTTGTGGAACATTATACTGAAGTCATAAACACCACGCAATGGTGAATTCTTGTGTTATACACTGCTTGTGAGAACAAATGTGTAAAGGTTTCTCTTTTACCCAGTAAGGAATTTTGGTGATTAGACAAAATATCATTTCCACAGTTAACAAGTTACACTAATTGAAAGATACAAATAATTGGTAAGAGGATATTCTATTCAACAACTGATAAAAATTCTTGGCGAATAAATTCTGACTCATATTTACTTTTAAAATGGTAATATTTTCTCGCTTGTGTATTGGTTGGCTAGTGCATATAAATACATTATGTACTTATAGTGCATGCAGGACCCAAACATTTTATGCTGCAAATAGTGGGGAATAAAGTAGAATTTTAAAAATGCTTGGCAACAGGTACATTAACACTTATCTAAACAACGTGCTTAAAACAAATTTCACTCAGTGTGGTGGTACACACCTTTAACCAGCACCGGTGAGGCAGAAACAGGCAAATGACTGTGAGTTCCAGGCTACATAATGATACAAACAAATTTCATACCATTTGCTTTAAACAAGGCATCACGACTTTAAGTTCAAAGATTAAACGAAATTCCTCAGCTAAAATCAGAAAATTCTGTATTGAGAGATTTTAGCTCTAATTTTTACTCAGTTCCGCTGTCTCTGTAAAGATGACCTTTGCTGATGTGACAGCGAGAGATGCTGATGGGGGTCTACCACCCTGCACTGGGCTACAATCACTGGGAGCACCTTTCTCCAAAGGAAAAGACTCGAGGATGAAGCAAGCTTTCCGAAGCATCTCCCAGCCTACGCACAGTCCGACTACTCCTTTCTGATTGGCCAGCGTGACTCCCTAATATCCAATCACGCTGCAGTATCCCAGCGCCGGCGTCACCACGCACGCTCACTGACGCCCACCGAGGGCACAGTGTAGGGCGGTGCTAGCCCGGCCCAGATGCCCGAACCAAGGTGGCCGGTCCGCGCCGGGGTGGGGCCACGCCCAGCGGGAGGGTGACAGGAACACAGTCCTCTCACCAGCTCCTGGTTTTCCCACGCTCCCTAAGTGCAGGCTTTAGGGCGGCGCTCACTTTCGTTGTGTCTGTCTGCAGGACTCAAAAGACGCTTGAGCCGCATCTTGTGAGTCTCCGCAGACCGGAAGGCACGTGAATGGAGCGAGCCCGGACCAGAAAACTTCGGTCCCGCGCAGAATGGGCTGGGCTCCGCCGCCCCAAACTCGGCCCCGTTCTTGCTCTTTTGAGGCTCCGCCGGGTCCCGAGTCCCGCCCTCTGTGAGGCGGCCCCAAGGCGCGGGTCCCACTAGCGCGCAGGCCACAGGCTCTGCGAGCGACTCCCGGGTCACCAACTCACTAGTCACCGAGCGGCGTGGCAGCAAGGGCGGGAGCCTTCCGCGGAGCGCCGCCTCCGATCCCCGGTCCCAGGCCGCATTTGGCCGGTCGCCTGCCCCACTCCCGGCCGGCACGGCCCCTGCGGCCGCTCGGAAAACGTGGCGAGCGGAACCAGCACGCGGAAGCGCCGGCCGCACTGAGCATGCCCAGTGGCAGAGCCGACCAGAGGAGTTTTTTCTTTTCTTTCTTTTTTCCTCCCTTTTTTCTTTTTCTTTTTCTTTTTCTGGGTCTCCAGAAGGAGGCCCGCCCCCCACCCTCAGCTCAACCCCCGCCGCCCCTGGCCTGAGCAGCTAACCATGGCCGTGGTCCCCGGTGCCGCGTTGTCCCAGGCGGGTTGGTAAGTGCCGAGTCCCGCCGGCCGCTGGGCCCGGGCCCGAGGAGGGTTGGGGCTAGGGGCGCGGGGTGCG